CCAAGGGGCCCAGCCTTTCCTTGCAATAATTTGGAAGTTTTGTTGTCCCATTCGTCAACTGTACTTGTGCTATTGCCTGCTGTTCTGTGGAAGGGCAATCAATAAATCTCCTCATACTCAAGCTTTTTTTCCAGCTCTCCCCAAACTCAGATGTATCCAAGGCTCCCATCAGCAGGTACCAATGGGAAGGGCAGGTGTGGAGCGCTCACCGGCATGCCGGCCTTCCTGTGACTGAAACTACCTCATCTTTGAATCCCTCCCATGACTCCTTTCCCTATGTTGAGTCATAATCCTTGCTCTTCTCTTCCAAGTCTCACAAGCCATACTCTCCTGGAGTAATTCAGTAATGTCGCATCATGTCGCTCCCCTGCCCCTGCTCCATCTATAGCAGCCATCGTGTTTTCTCGCATCTCTTCTCCCAGCCCTTCTTCAGCCATTCGTCCCTGCGATGACTTACGCGCGGTGTGGCCTTCCCTCCTCGGGCCCTGCCTTGAGGCACTTAAGAGAATCAGTCAGATGCTAGTCAGAGGAGAAGCATTTATCTGATTAAAAAAACCCACAAAACTGAACCAAAACCCACAATCTTTTCTTATTAGCATCGTAGCCAGCACTGTGACGAGAAGGAAGGGATGATTCTGTCTGAGGCTTTTGACATAATTAAAAAAAAGAGCAGTAAGTGTCATGATAAATAGCAGGGTCACGTTTTTTCTGGTTTCATAAACATGGATCTGGATTAACTCTGATGTGAATTATGCAGAGCCGTCCTGGGATTTACGCAGCAGTGTTGAGATCTCATCTCTGTAGACTGCTTCCAAGAGACAAAGCTCTTGCCACATCAGCAGGCTTTTAGAGGTCTCTGTGCCTTTTCAGTCAACTGCACTTTTCTGTTCAAGCTTTCCTCCTTTTACTTGATTCAAAAAGTCACAAGAGGGCCACCCTCTGGGGCCTGTATTAATCCTCTTTTCCCATCCCACTCTGTAGAGCATGCTCATGGACTGCTGCAACCCCAGGGGACTCTACTGAAATACTAAACGGCTCTGACCACATGCAGATTTATTCTTCCACTCTGTGCAAAGCAGGACTAGGACCACTGTTTCCGAATGAAACGTCAGATTAAAAATAAATACGTCACAGGCGCAAACTTCAACAGAGAGGCTGCAAAAGGAAAGCATCAGTTACCACTTTCTGTTTGCTTTTCCTGGGACATTTGTGGATCAGATTTTCATTTCCATGAGTATTTAAAAACATCTGCCCTTTTTGCAAGGCATGTTCATATCAGGTGCTCAGATCCATATAGTCAACTCTATGTATTTTCAAGAGCAGGGCAAAAAATGCATCAGCTTGAAGTCCAGGCAACATATATGTCCAAACCGGCCAACTGCCGAGTGTGTTAAGAAAGCCTCATGCCAAACAAGCAACCAAGTTTTAGGCAGGCCGAGGAGACACCTGCATTCCTCCTGCACCTGGAACAGCTGGAAGGTGCAGAAGTAACAACTAGGGAGCAAGCCCCGTGTGGGCCATCTCCAGAGATGACCTCTTGCCAAGGCAACCTCTGTGCCATGGACTGCCTGGCAGCCTGGTGGGTGTCTGGTTAGTCATTATCTGTGAAGTGGCTTCCAAAGTCGTTCTGGGGCTGTGGTAGTGTCCACCAGGATAAACAAGCAGTAAAGTTTGAGGCTGGGCTCAAATTAGCAGACCTGGCCAGAGAACGATTAGGCTCTTTCAACATGCCTTTTTTCTCCTGCCATCTCCTGTAAAGGCAGCTTACTTTGAATTGCAGACAGTAAGAAAGAAACATGGAGTAATTTATTTCATCATCCTCTGCCAGAGCAAGATTGTTCCCTAAAGCATATTTTCTAGTGATTTGTTCTGCTTACCTTTAGAAGACACAAGTAATAGCCTTCATTCCCTTCATAAAAAGACTAATAGACATCAACAGTGGGATTTATTTTTTTCTTGAAAAGGAGCCAAATGTCTTTTATTTTTTTTCTTAATTCTATCTTGCTACTGTTAGTTAATCTTCTTGCAGCAGTCCTTGACTATTTCTCTCCTCCTCAAGGCCCTCAACCTCGATTTGGGTCTTTCCCTTTCCTGACAGATTTCAGCCAGCTTATGATATCTCTGTTATTTTAAACTAACCCTCTAGGACAAACCCCTGGCGAGGTAATATCTGTGTTCCTACAGGTATCTTCTAACAACCAGACATTTTACTGAGTGACAAGAGAAGGGAAACAAACAGGTGATAAAGCCCATGCTTTTAAATGAGCATTTAAAAGTGATCATGGGGAATTTTGATAAAGGTTCAGACTAAGGTATTGAGAGACAAAGCAACTTCCCCCTCCCCAAATAATACTTTACAAGTAGACAGGAGCAGGGAGTGGCTGGGCATGTATAGGGTTAATCTTGTCTGCAAAGTAACTGAGAAAAATGCCCACTGGTTTCTGAGGACACTCTATTACTAGCCTAAGGTAGGAGAGCCTCCAGAGATTTAAAAGCAGTCAATAGCTCTAAAAAAAGACAGAGCAAGCCTTTGGTTCTGGCTGATATTAAGTTAGAGCAATAAGTCAACGTAGCTTTTCCATACCAGCACCGTCTTCAGACTTTTATACACAAAGCTGCTTCTGGTCTGCAAAAGCAGCTGGCTCCAAGTCTGCTGAATGTTATTCCGCCCTGTTTCTATCCTCTCCCATCGCACTGGCTCCTGCGAGACTGTAGCGAGCCGTAGGGGTCAGCAACCGGGGAACTAGGTAGGGGACGGTAATTGTAGCTAGGAGTTAATCGTTGCTTCCTAATCAGCTGCTGGGGCCAGTGGAGAGATGTCACCCTGCCTCTTCTGCCAGCACAGCAAATATTGTCACACCAGTACAACTAGGAGGTACCCCACTGTGCGGAGCGGGTGCTCTTCTGACGGAGCTCCTCTTGGGAGAGTCCCTAACACCCCAACCCAGCCGTGTGAACAGCATTGGAAGAGCTGAAGCAGTATGGAGGATATTCTGCTGCCTGTGATCACTTACTTGAAAAATAAATAAGCCTACTTAGCAGACAGATTTATTACCAGCCGTGAGGGATTATGAAGCCGAGTCACTTTGATTCATTAGAGCATTCAGAGAGTTTGTGTAAGTTGCTGGCTGCTGTCTGGGATGGTCTTTAACTGTTCTCTTACTGTTACCTGATGGTGAAGGGGAAAGTTGGAAAGCACTTGTGCTGAATTTGTTTTTCCCTGTGTTTGGTAATAGATTTTGACAAGCTGTTTAAAGAGCTGAGCCTTCTGACTTGTGCTGTGCCGAGCCATCCTTCCAACTCAGCTACACGTAGTCTCTTCTATTCTTTCCTCCCTCTCTGTAATATTTAAGCAACAAAGCCCTACCTCCATTTCCCCGAGGCCAGAGTAATGCATCTTTCTGCATTTAGAAACCTCCTACGCATGTGAACATGTCCTTTGTGCAGTGATGTTGTTTTAATTAGCCACGTCTCTCTTTTTGGCCAGAAATACATGAAATGACTGTACGGCTTTCCTGCAGCCAAGAGGCAGCGCAGCACCCTTGGTGCCCAGCCGTGGGTGGTGGGAGAGGCTGGCTGGCCAGGCTAGGGGCTGGGGGCGAAGGGTTGGAAGGGGAGAGGAGACAGACTGTGTGCCCGGAGCTGGCAGGGGAAGGGAAACAAAAGCTTGGGCAGGAGAGAGGAGGGGGCAGAAGGCAACCCTGGGTGACCCTGGGGGTAGGCAGGGAGGCAGAAGAGGCCTGCCTAAAACAGGTCAGAAAGCATGGCGTGAGACATCCTCTTTGTAATGACAACATGTCGTGGAAAAGAGCTAATTAAAGAAGATGATGTTAGGCCAAAACTATTAGGACAATAACCCGCCCAAGACCGAACCGGACAAGGCAACAGCTGAATGCTAGCATAACTATCCTTAGCTTAAGCAAGACACAAGTCTGTCCCACGTGGTCTCCTAATCCTACATTCAAAGTGCTCGTTAGATAACGTGCTTATTCATCTTTTAGACTTTGTCTCCTTAAAGTTGTATCCAGTATTTTCCATCTATCAGTCCATTCAAAAAGAGCTGCTTAGAGACCTCTGAAGTTAACGCCTCTCAGAAGCTCCTGCGATGTTCAGCAAATTTCCTTTTCATTAGGGACTTACTCCATTTTGTAGCGTTAGATTAGGAATTTTACTGAATATTCCTTAAATCCCTAGTCATGTAAATATTACCGATGGTAAGAAAAATATGCTGTTAATAAACGGTCCTTGTCACGACTAGATCAACCCATTCAATATATTGTATACCAATACTGGCTAAATCATTGTCCGTGGCCAAGCGTTACCTACGCTTGGGTTCTGCAGTGCCCACCTTCAACTTTATTACTAGCCAACACTGCATGTTACAGAAGCTACAGCTCACAGTCTGTGGCATTTCCATTTTGACCATGTCATTGCTGTGGTGCACAGATGAGGAAAATGTGGGCTCCCTCTCCTCCTGGTGGGAAGTGAAACACTGTGGAACACTCTCTGAACATCAAAGCCAGGCTGGCAAAGCAGAGGAGAGATCTCTGGCTTTCTGTTCTGCCATAAGGAAAATGAACATAATCCTGACCCTAACTGTCTTGTAATTTTTATTAGCAATCTTTGGCTGGCAGCAACGACCCTGTGAATAATGCATGCTGCTAGATGGCTTTCCTAAGGAAAGAAGGCTTACGCAATCATATTGTCTGCCACTACCCGCCTTCTCCTTACCCCGTAATAACTCAGAAAGCAGCTGGCCAATTTCAAACAAATTTGACAGAGGGAAAGAGGTCTTGAAGATATTGTGTTAAGTAAAAAAATAAAATATGGGAACCATGTAGGGAAGAGACCTCCTTGTAGTGGCCTTAGTGAGGAACATGAGCTCAGTTCTCGCTACAGGTCTGAGGTGCCACTCGGGTACTCAAGTCCGAGAAACGCAATTCATGGAGAATCAGTTTTCACTGTTTCTGCTGCTCATGCAATGACTTGTTTCTTCACAGGTCACTCGGGGTGAGCCCCAGAAGTCATGCTCCAAGCCTGTAGCAGAGAAAGTCACAGAGAGCTGCCAGCAAATTTGCCAGTGCCGGCCACCTCCACCGTTACCACCACCTCCTCCACCTCCACCGCCCCCGAGGTTGCTAGTGGTGCCGAGTAAGTAGCCACTGGTATGGTTGTAGTGCACTGAGGGAGGGTGAAGCGATGGGGATGCCTGGACAGACAGAAGCAGAAAGGATGTGGGAGAGGGCACAGCTAGCTCGTTTGTCATTCTCCACTTAGCAAATGGAGGAAAAAATGTTCTCAGTAGAGATGGAGATCTGTTTTCTGATCAATGAATAATGCTTGGCTTTTGGAGGAAAGCCAGAGAAATTCCCTGCTTTCATTGTATTATGTATGATTCCCTAGCTTTGAATGGTTCCCTAATGCCCTAGCCCTGGGAAATGCTTTCCTATGGAGATGTAGCGCTGTGCTTCCCCTTGAGTTACGTGACCTCCTGTTTCACCAGGTGTGCAGCTTGGAGGTCTGGGTGCTCCGAGGCAAATTAATTTATAAGCAGGCAAAAATTCAAACACTCTGCCTAGACCGTCCTGCAGATTGGCTGTCTTCAAGACACCGGAGCTCGACTGGTTTACCATAGCAGTGAGTCAGGCTCACTGGTTTTAAATTGCTTACAACTGTAACAAAAGTCAGAGGCATGTCAGGAGTCAATGGCAAGTGGGCAGTTTTCCCACTAATGCACATACAGGCTAAGACTCATCTATTTCTCTTTATACAAGTCAGTGCTCCCAAGCCTTATGCAGCCCATCCGAGCTCCTCTGAATTTCCAGCTGTGCATCCCCATGTCCAGCACACCTTGTGCCTGCAGTTCCTGCTGGCCACCTCTGCCAGCTTCCTTCCACTTCAGTATTTCTGTGATCCCCGACGCACAGATCCTTTCTGGAGAGCGATAGGTGTGCTGGTGGTCCCCAGAGCAGCAGTCCTTCCACAGTGGGACGGAGCTCACCGGCGCTACCTGCACTGACTGGGTGCAGGGACATGGGCTGGACCCTGCACAGACACTTTTAGGTCTCAGGTATTCCAGCAAATCTCCTTAACGCTTCTGTATCTTCGCAAATTTGTCTCTCCCTAAAAGGCTGCCTATTAATTCTTCTCCCTGCTTAGATAAACTCCCCTGGGAACAGTGTTGCAAAGTATATCTAGTATCCTTCTCAGTGCTTCCCCCACGGGAAAAGAAATCATTAGGTAACATCGTTTGGCTGTTTGTCTTTATCAGCGCTATCCCCAGATGTGCAGAAGACACGAAGAAGGCTTCTGCACAGCTTTTAGCCAGGCAGAAGACAGGCAGAATTTTGCAGTGTGTTTTCTGCCAGGAGCATGCTTTGTATTTGTGCCACACTGCAGAAATTTAAGGCAAAGGCAGGAAAAAAACCAACAGTGAAACACTTGGGAAAGGAAGTACAAAGACAGCTTGGAAAGCAGAGATGAAGGGTTTTTTATAGCAGGAAAAATCTCTTTCAATGTTCAGGAAAATGTCATGGACAGTAATACTGAAAATTCCCTTGATCTTTTTTCTCACAGTCAGAAAATAAAGAAAGTACTTTGCCACTGTGTTTTGTTGTCCCTGGGGTACCCCGTTGCCCTGCGGGAGCTGCTCTTGCCCACAGGAGCCGTGGCAGAGCAGTGTCAGCGCAGGGACCAGCCCTGCTGCTCGGCTGTGCCTGTGCCGGGAGGAGGGCACTGCTGCCAGGCTGCCTCCCCTCCCCGGGGCTGCCGGGGCTGAGCACATGGATTTGTCTCCTGTGAAGTGGGAAGGAAATCACATCAGAAAAAAAGAAGTCTGTCACACATTGCAAAAAGAGGAAAGAGAAATCAAATGGGCCTGCGACTGGGATAGCCTGATGCTTACTCAGGCTGGACTGCCAGGTGCTAACCCAGTTCTAAAAATGAGCTGTATAAATCCAGATGACTAATATTTAAACAAGTTATTTCATTTCAAAGGCAATAAAAAAAATAGATTACACATTGCTTCACCAGTAAGCTTTAGAGTAGCAATCAAGTGCCTCATCTTGAAAGATGCTTTCATTATTATCAGCTGTCTAGGCACTGTGATTTAGCCCACATGTACAGCAGTCCCCATCCTTGTGAGAATGAGCAACCCTCGTGGTTAAATATTGATGTTATAGACACTGCTTTTAAACAGCATTCAGAGGAGAAGGCAGTAACGGGGCAAGACAAGCTATTGTTAAGTGGTGGATGCTAGACTTGCACTTTCCACTTTTTAAGTGATTAAGTACTGGAAAGACCTCTGCAAAAAAGCAGCAGCCCAGGAGCTGCAGGTTTTTTTTACCTTTACAAGGTACAGTGTCTGCACTATGAGGCACTTCATAAAGATGTTGGCATTCCTCTCAGAGGCTTTGTGAGCCACAGAAGGCTGCAGCCTACTAGGCACTGTTCTTAAAAGCTCTTTTTGCAATCAAACTGAACATTGTTGAAAGTTTAGATCATCTCTACATCCTTCTAAAACAGCTACTGTGGTTTGGGCCTGATGATTAAAGCCAACAGATACAAAATTCCTGTCCATCCAGTTACTACAGACACTGACAGCTCAGTTATCTGCTAAATGAAGCCATCTCATGCTCTTTGACATGTCCTGTCTGGTCCCCAGCTGCTGCTATGGAAAAGCAGGGGACCCTCTTTGTGTCCTCTCTATCAGTCCCACCTGAATGTTTTGCAAACCCTACTTGGATGTATGGGATAGCACTGAGTAACTGTTTGTGAGCAGCTGAATCACTCCCTGAAAGGTTTTTATTGTGCTTGAGGACAACTGAGGACTTTCAGGAACAATTACAGTGCATTTAGTGTCTCTTTAGACATTTCAATATTGACAGGTTGATCCGGCAACAAATCTTTAGCTCTGCTTCCTGCAGATAGATTCATACAAAACCTGTTAAATGTTGTGAATTCCAGAATTCACGTATAATGACTGGTAAATGTGTTTACTCTGAGGGACGATAAGCTAATTCCCTCCGCAGAAGATGAGTAGAATCACACACAGCTTAGCAGTCAGTCTAAATACATGAGTGGTAGTAGAAACACCAACTTTACAGGCTTTAGGAGACACCTCACTGTTATAGTCATGTATTTACAACAGCAATGTGTGGGGTGTGTTTCAGTGCACCCTGAGAAGGCATATTATTCGTTCAACAATATGAATATGGGAAATTAAATTAGATCATGTGGCTTGTGTATTTCCAAATATGGACAACAAAGTTATGGACTGGTGAATTCAGAGAACATCTCTGCCACCAGAACTCCAGGCCCCAGGGAAGAAAACATAAACTGCTTTTGTCTTCCTTCAGCCATGACCCCAGGCCTCCTTTTCCCACATTTCTAACAACTCCTTCACACAGACCACTGGCGTTTCCCATGTCCCTTCCAACCTCTGTCCTTGCCTTCACTGCATCTGCTCTGGAGCTGTCATGGGACTTTCCCTCATGGCAGCATATCCGTGTGCCTCCTCCTCGCTAAGTGGAGGACTCCTGGTCTGCCCCAGTGAATGTCTGCTTTACGGTATCTAAATGAAGGCTAGGATCAGCCATGCTGGTCCCTGTGGATGCTGGTTCTCTCAATATTGCTAATTCAGCCTTGCCTCTTTCTGTAAAGTAGGACACATGGAGCATTTCAGTTTTGAGTTTCCCGAGCTTCATTCCAGATGCAGTTTGTTGGTGTCCCACTGAGATACTGCTGTCTTGTTCAGTATAGATGTGTACCTTACTGAGGGTCTTCAAGGAGAGGGGCTTCAGCCTGTATTGGAAGTAACTAGGATGGTGGGGACTGTCAGGAGACATGGTCGCTAAGCCAGTTGCAGTTCCTCCAGATGGTCTGGCATATTGATGCTTCCGCAGTAACTCTCCTTATGCAAGCAGCAGCCTGCTCTTTAACCTGTGCCTAGAAAACTGCTCGTTGATGAAATGAAGGGAAAGCTCATGAGGCTTTCAGGGGCCTAAGGCCAACTAAGCTTAGATGCTGACAGCAAAGAAAGGAGGAACTTTCAATGAAATTGAGTGTGTTCCCTAGATGTGGCTGTAATGACCTGAAGGAGATAGAGATGCTCAGAACCTGGCCTTTAATTAACTGTTTCTTTTTTTCCCCTCATCTGCTTTCCTCCTTGTCTCTGGATTTCAGCCAGGACTAAGGCAAGGTGGATGGAGTACTTGTTTAGGCAGCACTTCTAACTCAGCCTCGCAGACCCATGAGATTAAGCTAGTTCAAATGATGTTGACCCTTCAAAATCTAAAATACTGCTGTTGTCGATTCTTGAACACGTTGTGTGCACACAGGTTTCTCCAGGGGCATTGCAAAGAAGAAAGAACTTTGTTCGGAAGTAGAAGCTAGGCTTTCAAAACAGGAAAGGGCTAAAGCTAGACATACACTGCAGTCAGTACCAGTTTTAACCTGTGTAACGTTTGAGGAAAAAACATTTCAGAAGTGACTTCTTAAAATGGTACAAGGAAGAGAAAGGATGTTCAGCATGAACTCCTACTTGCTCTAGCCATCTCCCACGTTGGGTGAGGAGTCCATGGTATTGCCATCCCTTCTCTGGATGGTGGAAGTGTCCATCCAGTCAAACATTGATTCAGTCAAAATTTAGAGGAGGAAACTGAAATAAAAGTTTTTATCTGAGATCGTTACAAGCTGTACTAGTGCAGCTGAGTCTGGATACATGAACCAACCTCTGACTTGTTGGACGCTTGCACATAGGTACATAGTGAAGCCTTTATAGCTCCTGACCTCAGTGAAAGTTTGCCCTGATCTATCAGTTGAGATAAAGCACAATCAAGTCAGTGCAAAGCCAAAGTGAATGACATCACTGCAGAGGATTCTAATCTCCAGGCTGCAATTGTATGGTTTCGTTTTTCAAGGTGAAATCTTTTTCTTTATCTTTGGAGATAGTGCATCTAATTAACTAATTATTTGGGCTGGTGAAAATGCCAAAATAAAAATGACCAACTGCAGGAAGGGTGCAACTTTTTGGCAACTATATCAGCACAGATGTATAGCTTAATTTCAGAAAGTGTGCAGCATCCCTTCACTGCAAATAGGAAAGCTAAGGACATTTGGATCTTTTAGGACAGATGGTCACAATGTGTGCA